CAAATTATGAATGGGAAATTGGTTAATTACCTGCCTACCATTATAGCATTATAAGGAGTTCTTCTCTTTTCTAAAGTCTAGATTTTAGTCTGTCACTTGCTAGCATTTGTACCAAAATACAGAAAGGAGAAAGAGAGAGATAACTGATACTTTTAAATATTTCTTATTATAAGTGTGGTCCATGAAGTAACACTTGTACAGGAGTTGGAACAGTGCCTGGCATATAGTAAATGCTTAATAAAAGTTAGCTATACTTATTTAATCCCTACAAATACTCTACCAAGTAAGTACTATTATTGTTAATGTCCCATTTATAGATAAATGAGGGTTAAAGAACTTATATAACTTGTCTTAGTTGTGTAAGATTATAACAGCAGAATTGAGACTCAGATCCAGATCTGAAAGACTATTATCTTAACCAAAAATTTGAGACAGACTTTCTTAAGGTATAGCTCTTCAGACCAGAACTAAATGTAGCACCTTTCATAGCAGAGGAAGGGAAAATTAACATGCTCACAATGGGGCCATAATCCGTATATCTCACTGCTGGGCAGCTCTGAGCCACCAGTGGTACATGCATGACTGTCCCATCATGTATCACTGGTTGTTCAAGCCAGTGGGAATGTGTTAAACTTTAAACAATGATCCATTTTAAGTTAGATCCAACATCCTTGACTAGATTTCAAGGGCCTTTCTCTTAGGCAAGTTCACTGTAAATTCATAGCCCCCATAGTATGAAGCAGAGAACTCACTCAGGAAGAGCCTGCGTTTACCATTCCTGTTACAAAGGGAAGGAAAAGGCAAAACTGATCCAATGGATCAGCTTTCTTATGTTGCTTCAGCTTTATCACAATCCTATACCCAAATTCCTTGTAATTCCAGTATATTTAAATACATATATACATACTTACATATAAAGCAAAAAAACAAGAATCAAAAAATTTGTTCCACTATTTTCTGTTAAAAGCACTTTCCATTTTTATTTATCCACCTTTTTTCTCTTAAGATTTCCAGCCTTCTCACTTTACCATTGATATTCCTTCATTGGTATACTTGAAGTTGACTGCCTATCCATATATAATGAGTCAATTTTAATTTAGCATAGATTTGCTGTTTTATGCATTTACCCTGTTCTTTCTGCAACACAAGGGCTGAGAATTATGAACTAAGACAAGGTTGAAGATGGGAATTGAAACAGTTGTTCAAAACTAAGCAAATTAACAGAAGCTACAAGAATAGATGCTACTTGGTAATCCAAATGAAAGCTTGGACAGAAAAATTCGGTACATAGCCTCAAAACCATTTAGCTTTCCTTCTTATAATGTGACAACTTGTGTATGTGTTGTGGCTCTCTGGGTAGGTTCTCTAGAAAGTGTAGCATTTTAAGTGTACTTTTGTTTAAGTTCTCAACCTTTCTGAGCCCACACAGTTTGAGAATTTATCATGAGACTTGTGTTCTTTTGTCTATCCATCTTACACTGTCTAATGAACTGTTTGCAGCTTTCAGACTTGGTCTATACACTGGCTTTCTCTTGTGGCTTCTGTAGAAAGGTATGCAGAACTTAAACATTAACCCTAAATAATTTGTTCTCCCAATGTTTTCACTGAGTCAGTAAGTCTTCATTTCGTTAGGAAAAAAAATCATGACCCTCGTATTTTTGTGTCTTTTTTTGTTTGTTTCACGTAATGGTTTTCAGTTTTTGCTACTTTGCATGATAATTCATCCTTGCTTTTCTTATCTTCAATTTATTGCATTCTTTAAAATGATCTGATTTTCAGCTCTCTTAAGGAGTCTCTTTTATGCTCTCTTTTTGTAGGAACATGCCTCAGGAGCCATATCACACCTGTCCCTTGGGGAGAACCCAGCTGCACCACAGCCTTCTGTATCATCAGAAGACAGGAAGGAGCGGTGGGAACAGGGCCAGGCTGATTACATGGGAGCAGACTCCTTTGACAACATCAAGCAAAAACTTGACACTTACCTCCAGTAGAAGCGCTGCCATTTTCCTCTGAACATCCTTTCACAGGAACTTCTGATACTTAGTATCTAGAGCTGGGTTGAGAATAGTCTGTTGCAGGTGTTTACAGACTTTCACTAAAACTCATCAGATGAAGGGTTTTTCCGGAAGGACAGGTGAGAACTGGGCAGAAGTTGTGAAGCTGTACTTCTGTTATATGGACAGTGTTGTTTCATAACCCTAGACTTATTTAGCTGTTTCAGAAATTCTCAGTTATGCTGATTGCCAACATATGTAGTAAAGAAAACTCAATATTAAGCTACAAAGATGGTTTTATTTACTTGTGTAGAACCAGGTTCCAAATCCATCTCCCTTCAGAACAGGATATGGCTTCTGCCCCTTGCTTGTTATACCTGTCAGGAAAGTTGCATTTTAGGATTGCCCAGGGATTATCAGTGACAATTGTGCTTCAGGTAAAGGCAACCTTTAATAACACTGCTGAGTGATTCATAACTTGTCAACAAATGGCATTAGGCCATTTTATCTCCTATGTCTGAATACGTTCACCAGTTTTCTATACACCATAAGGCAGCATGCTGAAATGCTTTTGTTCAGTTCTGTATATGTGAAAATAGCAGTGTGCTCTCTGATGGTTACCTGCAGTTAATACCCTGTATGAAAAATAAAGACTAATTGCCATACCTTGGTTGTTTTAAGTATTTCCCCATCTCACCTTTGAAAAAAAATCTATTAGATTTTCCATAATTTGTGAAACTTGTCATAGATTTTTTTAAGTATAAAGCTTGACACAGATATGCTTTAAAAACTGCTGCCTAAGAAATCTAATATTTTCCAATGATGGTGATGGATCTGACAGGTGGAGAAAAGTGAGATCAAATCTATCTAGTGTCACTTGAATTATATCCCCAGTGGGCACACAAGTCGTCAGCATATGGTGATGTTAAAAGCATCAAGCTCACTGTCCATCCCTGAACATACGCAGTAATCTTTAAGAACTGCCAGAATCAGCACTAGACTCAATTCCTTCTACTGTTTTTATCCAGAATAAAAGCGTAAATCCTAGGCTGTAAGGGATGGCAAGGTAAGGAAGGATGGGTCCCAAAATGATCCTTTGAAACTGAGTAATCAGAAATAATTCTACTGAATAAGAGTCAAATATAACAAAAACCTTTAATGTTAGCAAATGCTCCAGTGGGTTTTGTGACCTAGCCTTCTGTCATACTCCTTCATTTTGACAATGTCCTATTGGCTACCTGGGTCATTTCTATTCAGTATGGCTGAATGAATCCCTGGGGTTTGAGTATCTGGAGACAGGAATGACTGAGGGCCACCTGGGAAGGTGGGTACAAGAGCTCAAGAACCTGCAGATTTACCTAAAATTGTAAAATGATAAATGACTTCTGGACTAGTAGAGAATAGTTACCAACATCTTCAAGTTCATGAAACATTTACCAAAGATTAAGTGCTTCCATGTGCTGGTGCTGTGGCTACAAAGACCTCTAGATATTTTTAGCTAGTCAGAAGCTCCTGGCTTTTGGTTTCTGAGCTCCTGGTTGAGATGAAAAGAAACCTAGTCTTCAGATGAAGAATGCCACCTCACTCTTGTGGCCATGTAATATATAATCCAAATAAAGTATGTTAGAAATGACAAAGTTTTTTTACTTTTTTAAGAAATGGGGATAAATACTGTGTCAGTTTGTGTTGTATTTATTATATATTTTTTTTACAAAGCACGAAATGAAGTTCTCAGTTTAGCCAAAGCTATTAACTTTTAGAATCAGAAATAACAGGTTCAGGGATATAGCTCAGTGGCGCCACACCTGCCTGGCAAGTGCAAGGTCCTGAGTTTGATTCCAGGTACTGGAAAAAAACAATCAGAAATAATGACAAGTTCACCAGAGAAAAATAGTCTGTAATGTGCATAAAGATGTGTCAAGTAATGTGGCTGGGAAATCACTGAACTAGCCTAACATTTTCTTTCTCTCAACTTTCAAGGACCTGTCTTCATTAACACAAAGTATTAACATTTCCACACAAAGCTGTACAGCTACACTGCAAAATCTCTTCTGGGAAGCCCAAAATGACAAGGGGTTAGTTACTTAGATGTATAAAAAGGTAGTAGCTCAAATTATAAAACATACATTAGTGGAGGCTATCAATATACCCTTTTTAAAATCCCTTTGTGAACAGTAGTAGGTACAACAGACTTTGGCCATAAGACAAACTTGCTCACTCAAAGGCCAAATCCATTTCTTTCCTTTGGGGATCAGCTCCATGCTTGATCAAGGTCTAATTCATGCATAAGGTGAATATTGGTCTTAATTCCCCTTCCACCTGTTGTTTCCTCACTGAAACTTTTGCAAATACTGTAATTATAAAGTTAATGTATTAAAAAGCTATTAAGTTATTATGAGCCAAACCTCAAATCTGTCCTAATGTTTATGAATCTCATCGAAAGGCTAATGAAGAACTTTGGCAAGTACTTAAGGAAAAAAATACACCAATGTCTTTGACATATCCCTACATAAAAGTTTTGGCGGCCTAGGATAATTTCATTAGTATTCACAGGTAATAAACTACACAGGATATTTTCATTTCCAATTTAGAGTTAAAATTTTCAGGGAAAATCTACAGTGATTGAAATTACTATTTGTATATGTATTATCCTTTTTTTTCTTACATCTGAGGAAATTATTTGGGACCAATGTTATAGATCAAGGCATTTAAAATGAACCTTAAATATTCACTCATTTCTGAACAAGAAGTTGCAACCAGGGCCAGGGATTTAGTTCAGTGGTGCCACACCTGGCTTGCAAGCACAAGGTCTTGAGTTCAATCCCCGGTTAAAAAGTTTCAACCAGTTAAATTGAGCAAAATAAAAGGTGGTAATATGAATATATTACAGTACTTTTTATGTGCAGTCAGGTAAAATACTATGTAATATAAACAACTTCATAGAAATTAATAAAATTTATTCCATTTAAAGAGGAAATAGTCAAATTATGGCACTGAAGAAGGTAATCAATTTTTGAAACATTTATTTTAAATTTAAGACACAATCCAGTTTAAACCACAAAATTTAGTTTGAACCACAAGTGGGAATACAATGCTTTCAATATATTTCTAGAGCTATTATTCTATATAATAATAAAAGTGAATTAACAGCATAGCATAGTTTTCATTGCAGTAGTTTATATATTGGGATGAATTTTTTTAACACCACTTAAAAGGACTGTACAAAACAACATTTTTAAATGACTTGCCAAACTTACATGTTTAAAAGCATAACTCTTATGTATTTGGGTAAAGAAGCAAGATGCTTCATCTTTATAGCTGAAGTGAATGGCTCTGCTTCTGTAATCATGAAGAATAGACTATTGGTTTTTTTTATTTTTTCAAAAAATTCTGTTTATCCATAATCTCACTGAAATACTGGTATACTGAGAAACCGTATTACACGTTTAATGAGATTCTGATCAACCTGATTTTTTTTTTGTAATACTAGACCTACAAGGTAAAATATTTCCCTAGGGCTCCTAATGGTAGCTGACCAGCCCCAAGTTAATTCATTCTCATCCCTGCAGAAAGGTCTTTCTTGATGTTAATGAAAATGAGTCCTCTACTTTCTGTTACCTCTGAGAAAAAAGAGACAAGATTTTTGAAGGCTAATTTGTTTCCTTGGAGCAAGAGACAGGACCCAGGGAGGAGAGAGAGAGGACTTAGCTGGTGACATCTGACAGATTACATATGTGCCCTATAACACAATGTTGCCTCTATTATCTTTCAAGTCACTTCTGACACTATAAGTAAAATTTTAGGTGTTACTCTGTATCAAGTACGAAGCATCCCTTATTACAGTAATCTCTTTGGATTAAAAAAATTTAAGGAAATAAAACCGTGGACTACCTAACACAACTGCTAAAATTCTAGCTTCTTTTAAATATGACTCAGAGTCATCTAGAATTCTGTGGCAACTACTATGAATTTGATTATGACAACAACAAAAATGCAAGAATGAATTACTTAAATTACAAAATTAAATTCTGATTTCAAACACACATAACAAAGAAATTTTTACATTCGGGATTAAGATGTCTTTAAGAGTTGAAACGACTTTGGAGGTCATCCAGCCCAACTTCCATCCAGATATCACGCCTTTCACATACAGAAGTCTTCTGAATTATAAAAATTTATAAAGTTATTTCCAAAAAAAGCTACATAAATAAAAAGTCTATTTATAGAAATATCTATTTAAATTCCATAATTTAAATATTCAAATTAAATTAGGTAGAATTGGTTCCTCTTACCCCTGCAGACTACATTTACACCCTGTTTGTATCAAGTTACATTTAAACAATGAATGCAGTACCACTTGATTAAAATGGAGAAAATAGTGCTCTAACATGGTCCCTAATTTTTCAAAACCTAAACTTTCAAGTTCCATATATGAGCTGGGTGTGGTGGCACATGTTTATAATTCTAGCACTCCAGGAGGCTAAAATAGAAGGATCACAAATTCAAGTCCATCCTGGGCAACTTAGTGATTTTTGCAAGACGCTGTCTCAAAATACAGCAGCAGGGCTCAGTGCTAAGGCCCTGGGTTCTATCCCCAGTACTGGAGAAAAAAAAAGTTACATATATAAATTATATCTGAAGTTGTTTAAAAGAAAAATTCCAACTAATTTGTTAACCTAGAATTTGGTCTCTTAATAATGCAAGTAAGTTTTGAAAGTCCAATAAAATCATGTGTGTGTGTGTGTGTGTGTGTGTGTGTGTGTATCCATCCTTTACAAGGATTATGAACCCACTGCATCACAAATCAGAGGCTTTGTTGAAAAGCCAAATGTATCCTACATAGAAAAGTCTCCATTGGTCAAAGAATAAAAGATCTGACCTTATTTGGAACAGGAAAAAGCTGAGTACTTAGAAGATATATGAAAAAAAACTCAGCACAGAGTTCTCTATGAAAAGTTGAATAAGAAAGTCACTTTTTATCTCAAAAAAATTATTTTAGGCCACAATATATAACAGAACTTATTGCTATTTGAAATATCACTGAAAATACATCCATTATATAAAAGACATTAAGTGTCAGTAATACCTGTTTACTAATGTAAAACAGTATGCTCCTCATGGAAGACATTCTAGATCTCATTCTTAAATCTTTTCTCATTTCCAACACTTACGTATCTGATAGAACTGACCTTACTAAAATCCCACATATTATAAATCAATTAAAGTTTTGATTTCATTAATTTTAGCTTGTTTCATTTCATTAGCGTTTGTCTTTTTAGTTCCAAAAGCTCCAGCTGCAAGTTCTCTTTTCGTATTTTGTATTTTCAGCATATTTTCTTCAACAGAATCCTTCACAATGAACTTTAAAAAGAAAAAAGATAAAATTGGTATTTTTTAGTTTTTTAGGTAACAATATTTAAAATCTTAAAGCCTACTAAAAAATGAACTATTGCGAATCATGAAGGATAAAATATGCTAATACTGCTCACATAAGCAGAAAAAATAAAATTAAGGATATTTGTAGTCTTAGAAGCTTATTTCAGCTTTCAAAAATGTGCAATAACAATTTATAAGAAGCTGTTAGCTCCTCTTCTTTCTCAAAGTGCAATGAGAATATTTAGAACATGAGATTATAATACTAGAGCTAAACACTGCTTTCCTTCATCACCCAAGAGGTTTTTCCTTATAGAAAATGGCTGGGAGGAGAGAAGTTACATTTATAACCCTATCACCAGACCAGAGCCCCCCCAAAAAAACTATATGAGAAATTCTGTAACTAGAATAATAGCAAAATGAATTTAGTATTACATGGCAAATGAAAATTTTCTGGAAATACGACAGTGAGTCTTTATCTAGTATGAGTCATAATATTAGAGAGAAACCAAAATATGTGACAATCTCTACAGATTCCTGAAATGTATTTAATCAAATTCAACATAAATTTTCATAAAGTTTGATTTAAAAAACCTTCAACCTGGGAATAAAAGATACATCCTCAACCTTATTAAGAAAGACATGTTTAATGTGAAACAATAGAAGCCCAACAAAAAGAGGAGTAAGCCAAGACTATAACTGTTATTACTACTATTTAATACTGTATAAGAATCCCAGTTATTGTGATAACAAAATAAATTGTATTATAAAACTCCATTAAAATATGTAAGCTGGGTGTGGTGGCTCATGCCTATAATCCCAACACTCTAGAGGCTGACACAGGATGATTGCTGAGAGTTGGAGGCTAGCCTGGGTTACAATAGTGACTTCAAAGCGAGACTCTATCTCAAAAAAAAGTAAGTAAAGTAAAAACATAAGAGATCTAAATAAATGGAGAGAGAAACTGTTTATGGTCTTGAATGAGAAAACATTCCTTATTTCTAAAGAAAATTCTCAAAGGAATCAAATTCAATAAATCCCAATTCACATTTTTTTCTTTTTCTTTTTGGGAGGGGGAAACTTGAGATTGAATCCAAGGCCTTCATGCTGAGGTACATCCTCAGCCCTTTTTAAAACTTCTTTAATTTTTCAAAGTTTGGAGACAGTGTCTTGCTAAGTTGCCCAGGCTGGGCTTGAACTTATGTTCCTCTTGCCTTGGCCTCTCAGAGTGCTGGGATTAAATAATATTTCTTAAATGGGATTTGATAGTCTACCAGTGATGGTGAACCTTTTAGAGCTTTCAATGATAATAAACAGCCAGCTGCGGCACATGTGCCATAAGTTTGCCACCACTGGCCTAGACCAAAAGTCCAAGAGAAGTAAACAATGACAAATATAATTTTTAAAATGAAGAGTAATGAGAACACTTTACCCTACTACATATGAAAGCATACTTTATAAAACCGTAGTTGTTATAAAATTGTCCTGAAGATAGGAAGAAATCAAAAGAACAGAACAATCTAGAAAGAGATTAATATATACATTTCATATTAGTAGAAAAAAAGGAAAACTTTAAAAGAAATGACAGAACAAATGGTTCATTTGGAAAAATAATAAATTTAAATGCATTTCACAAAACACAAAATCTAAAAGAATCATAAGTAAATACAGGAGAAAAGTTTTCAAGATCTGAAGATAAAGCCTCCCATCATTAGTAAGACTTTAAAACCTAGGAACTATTAACAAAGGAGGGAGGGCACATTTTCAATCATAAAAATTTTAAAGCTTTTTCATGATAAAAAGCCCCTGAAGTTTTTAAACCCAAGCAAGTTCCTGGAATAAACCATCTCCAAATTCATAAGAAATGATTTAAAATCAGAATGTATAAATGAGTCCTTTATGCTATAAAACAGTATTTGTAATGTAACTACGAAAACAGGCAACTCATATGAAATTTACCAAAAAATTTTAATGAATAACAGGCATGTGAAATAAGTTTAAGGTAAGTAAATGCAAATTAGGAGGGTATTTTTTAAATCATAGAAGCATTAATTTATATCAGTGTCACATTACAAAGCCAATTTTGAAAGGAACTTGATAGTTATCTAATAAAAAATATCTAAATCCAGAATTCTAGCTTTCTTAATCCATCATGAAGAAATGTGTACAAAAATGCATGTACAATAATGCTTATTAACGCATTGCTTTTAACAAAAAATTGTACTGGTTAAATAATTTATGATGTATCTATATGCAGGTATTAAATAAACTTGGAAAGGAGTCAAATTCATAGAAACAAAGCAGAACAATGTCATCCAGGGGCTGGGAGAGAGCAGAGTCATGGTTCAATGGGTAGAGTCTCAGGGTGAGGTGACCGGAAGTTCTGGAGATGGATGGTGGCAGTGGTGACACACAACGTGAGTGTACTTAATGCAGCTGAACTGTACCCTTAAAATAACTGCTAAAATGGTAAAATTCATTGTGTACATTTTACCACAATGAAAGTGCTGATCTAAATGTACTTATATAGTAGTCTCTAATGTACATAGTTAAGGAAAAAAGGTATGTTAAAGAGTAATAAAGTATGAGTCCTTCTATTTTTAAAATGAATTTTTAAATAACATGTATATATGAATAAGAACATATGTAACTAGAGAGAAAAGGCTCTAGAATATATTTGAATGTATAAACGGTGAAAAAAAGAACACTTTTACATTTTGCTTTCCATAATTCTACTTAAATCATTACAATAATTACTTGTATTATTTTTTAATTACTTGTATCATTTTTTAAAAACATACTAATCTTAAAAAAAAGTGGTTCCAAACTCACTTTTGTGATAATAACTTCTTGCTTCTGGCCAAGTCGATGGCATCTGTCAAAGCACTGATCTTCAGCAGCAGGATTCCAGGCCTAATAAAAACATAGCCCTGCTGTGTGAGTGTTCTGCATCAGTCCTTTCATTTCAGTATTATCCATTCATCTGTGTCTGACTGAATTCAGATACTTGACATTACAAATGTACTAGGGGAAAAAATTCACCTCCCTAAATCACTGTGACAACAGGCATTCTCCCATGTCATTTCACTCTAATACTGGTTGATTATCCCTTATCCAAAATTCATGATACCAGAAGTATTTCAGATTTCACAATTCTTCAGATTTCATATTATTTGCATAGCCTTTACTGATGAACATCCCAGATTCAAAAATCTGAAATTTAAAAAGCTCCAAAAATTTTGGTGTGTCATGTCAGTACTCAAAAAGATTTAAATTTCAGAACACATCAAACTTTCAAATTAGGGATGCTCAAACTGTACCTGACAGAGAACCTGACATATGTGTCAGCACCTAATATAAACATCTGGGTTTTGACCATTTCATTTTAAAGTGGATCTATGTATATTTAACATAGGAAAAGAAATTTACACATTCTCAGATTATTTCACTTACAATAGAAAAGTGAAGCAATCTGTGGGCACATTTATGAAAAATATTCCCTCTGTTTTACTGGTCTTTGCCTCTTCTTTCACTTTCTTCCATTCATAAAAGTATAAAAAGTTTTTAAGTTGTTTAAAGTCCTAAAAACAGTTTAATACTTTGTTGATGCAATTTTCTGTACATGCATTTGAAATCAGCTCTGACTTCAAAACTGAGCACCAAAGTAGTATTTGCTAGTCATGGGGATTGTCTTAAACTGAAGAATAAAATGATGATGTAATGAACCTGTAATCTCAACACTATCAGGATGAGGCAAGAGAATCACAGCCCTGAACAACTTAGCAAGACCCTGTCTCAAAATAAAAAATTTAAAATGGGCAGGGGATGTAGCTAAGTGCAAAGCCCTACATCTGATCCCTAGCACCACCAAAAAAAATGAAGGAAGTGGGGGGAATGAATAACCAAAAGACAGAGTTCTTTAGAAAAAACTAGGTAAATGGTTTTTAAATACTATCAGTCAGGATAAAGATCATTAAATTTTACATATTAAACTATGGGATAATTCTTTTTTTTTTTTTGGTACTGAAGATCGAACTTGGATCCTTGCGCTTGCGCAGGCGGCAAAACCACTGAGCTAAATCCCCAGCTCTACAGACACATTTTAAATTGTTATACTAATAATAAGAGGCCAAGGCAAGTATTTTACCTTGTTGCCTGTATTTTATCCAGCAACCTAATCATCTGGCAATATATGTCTAGTATGACTACCAGAAAGCCAATTTAGCTCAAGATAACATACAACTCATAGTTTCCATTCTCACGTTAGTGATTAAGGAAGCAATTAGATTCATCAGAAGCACATAATGGACATCAAAATACCACCTCAAATAGTGCTCCAGGAAAAGGGAAAAAATTGTCATGAGCATTTTTTTTCTGACTTTTGGAGTTAAAAACAACACTATAAAGCTTTACATGTTCAATGAGACAACTATAAAACTGCTAAAACATTCTGACAGTGTTTTACCTATCTAATCTGCTAAATAGTAAGTCTCTGCTCAAATCATTATTCTACTTTGATATATCAGCCTCTTCTTTCTCTAGTACTAAGATGATCAGCAAGAGAAAGAACAATAATTTGGGAATTTGTTCTAAAAGTCAACTTATAGGTCTATCACTGGGTCAATATGAAACACTGTACAATTAAATAGTTTTAAAAAATAATAGCCACAAAACTAAGATTTAAAACATCATCCATAGCACTAAGGCAAATACAGATTGTTGCCATCCATAACAAGCAACCTTGAAAACTTAAGATATGACTCATTTTAATCATATTGAGAAGGTTATCCTAAGAGGAAGAGAAACTTCCACCTTATGAATCTTCTGAGTTTCAAGCCACAAGCTAAAATCACAAATCTTAAATCTATGAATACATAGCAATAGCACAGGATTGCCTCCAGCCCAAAGTGTACTCAGTATATATTAGAAATTAAATTAGTTCAGAATCTTTACAACTCGAACAGCCCCATTATGAGTCCAGAAAAATATGCTCCTATGTGGATGCAAATTCAGGTCACACTGCTGGGTGAGTAAACTTGAGTGAATTTTAGTTTCCATTCTACCTCTAGACTTGTATTGCACAACCACAAGTAACTGCACTGTATTAGGCCCTGAACTTTATCCAGAACATTTCATTAATGGTAGTGTCTCAAACTGTGGTCTTGGACTTGAACTATCTGTAATACCTGTATCATATACCTATGTGTATATATCTATATGAAATGTTTAAAATGTATCTTCCAGAGTCTCATCTAAGAACTCCTAAATCTCTGAGCAGAGAGGTTTAAAATTGCATTTGACCTAATTCTTAGGCTTGAGACCACTAGGACCATGAGCGTAGCCATCTGGTCTACCTTATTCATAGTCAGTTTCCCAATGCCTGTACCACATCCTGATAAGGCAGGATCTCTCATTATCTGTTGGCTAAACGAACCATTATCTTAAAGGATTATAGTCAGTAGAGATTTACTCTGTATACACAAGAGAAGTAGAATAGCATAGCATAATAGTATGTAAGAAAGATACTTCCATCTGGTTTTGCTATTATGAGGTGGTGCAATGTTGGGCAAATTATTTACTTTTCTGTGCTTTAGTTTCCTCATCTGTAAAATAGAGACAATCATGTTACATCCCTCCCCAAAATTTTGTAAGCATTTAAAGTGACATATGTAAAACCCTTAAGAGATAGTCAATAGAAACATTTAGTAAATTATTAGCCATTTCAAAAGTTTGCTTAAGAATTTTCCCAATTATAACTATGAAGGTATTTACCAGTTTTTGTCTTTTACTTTTTGGATGAAGTAATAACACTTTGAAAAGTTTATAAAACTACTTACTGGATCCATTAAAAACACTCGAGAAGCTGCACAAAGATTCAAACCAACTCCACCTGCTTTTAAGGACAGGAGCATTATAGTTGGAGATCCTGTTTCAGTGTTTTGAAAACACTGAATTGATTCAACTCTCTTTTTTTGGGCCATAGAACCATCCAAACGAGTAAACACAAATCCAGAGGCTCTAATGAGGAAGAGATGAGAAACATTTAGTAGAGTACAAAAAAGTGGTAAATAGGAATAAATTCTTTCACTAATTTACTTATTTATCTTTATGGTTCTTTATTTATCTTTATGACTCCCAGGCCCTGCATGTACTAGACAAGTTTGAGCTATACCCCCAGAGTTCACTAATTTACTTTAACAAATGTTTCCTAAGCACTTACTAATATGCCAGCCACTTTTTTCTAATATGCAGTCTATTTTTTTTTTAACTAATATGCAGTCTACATTTTTCTAATAAGTTCAGGGCTTATCTTTAAAATTCTATGCTGCCAGGAAATATTCTCTGACTCTGAAAATCATTTTAGAAGGATGAAATGACTAAAACTGGTAAAACAGGTTTTTTTAGTATAAAAAAAGCAATACACATATATAAAACCCTTTACTCAGAGTGAAAATTACTGTTGAACTCACTTAAGTGGTGTTTCTATTAAAGATAGGAATGCTGTAAATTGAGAAACCACTAAACTCTTTATGTTGGGATTCTTCTTTCTTAAGTCAATCAAAGCATGCATAAGAGCATTAATCTGAAAAAAATTAAGATACTCATTAAATTCCATTTTTCAACTGGGAAAATAAGTGCAATGTTATTTTTTAAAATGTATCAAATTAACATGTAATAATTGTATATATTAATGTGGTTTATAGCAGTATCTCCATATATCCACATAACTTGCTGATATAACTGCAGCATTTGACATAACTAATCAAATCCCAAAATTTTTAACAGAAAGGTCTTGGCATTTTTTTTAACTAAAAGGCAAAAGTGAAAGACTAATTTAAAAAATATAAACACTGAAAGAATATTGTAATAATCTCAACCCCTTTCTTTTTGCTCACAAATTTACCACTTAAAAAAGCCAGTAGTCACCAAGATTATATTCAAACGATGAGATTAAAAGTAGAATTACTACTGTTATATGGTGTATATTTCCTTATATAAATATAAAGCAAATATATAAATGTTTTCAAATGTACTTTACCTTTGAACTGGATGTCCATTCCATATTAGACTTTTTTTCATTGTCACATGTCATTTCTTCTGGAGGACATTCTAGTAAATTGTCTCCATGAATATCATTTCTGCATAAAGGGCATTTAGCATGTGGCTATATTAGAAAAAGGAAAGTATGAGCCATACTTACTCAGAATAAAAGAAATACAGCACACTACATGAAACTGTTCTTCAGAAAAAATATCCTTCTCAATGACTTAAGCTAATAGTTTATAAAGCTTATTATAGCTTATAAAGCTATCAGATCTGGCTAAATCCTATCAGGTTAATTCAAAGCAACATCTGTTGTACCTACACTAGTAAAATGAGATTACATCTTAAATAACCTAGATACCAAACACCATTACAATAAAAAAGATTCTGAAACTAAAACTATGTTAGAAATTAGTACAACGGAGACTATGGGAGGACTTCATGGAGGGAGAGGGCTAATGATTAGAAGAAGATAAAAGGAGACCTGAATAAATAGCTTACATGTTCACATTATAGTTCAGTAAACTGTACAATTATAATTTGTTCATTTTTCTACATGTATCAATTTAAAATGCTAAGAAAAGCTTTTGCACTAACTGAAGACTGCTTAAACCTCAAAATATTTTACCACATAAAAGAATCCAGACCTACTTTATCCAAAATAATAGCAAATAGCCACGTGTCAAGTCTTTGAAGTGTGGTCAAGTCAAGAATACAATACTACCAGATTTTGAAGACTTATTTTAAAAATAATTTAGAAAGTGTAACATATTACATTAATATTTTTATTTTGGATATACTGGCCTAAATTAAATGTATGATAAAAATTAATTTCATGTTTCCTTTACTTTGTAAAACACAGTTATTAGAAAACTTTACTTTTGTGTCTCACATTACTCTATTGTATGTATTGGACAGCAATGATCTAAACAGTTCGTTAAACTAGGATTACTGACTGTAAGACAATGCCTCCAAAGTAATGACTTTCTATGTTAAAAGAACTTAATTAAGAGACATATCACCTATTATTGGAATAATTAACCATAAAAGGTCATTATTAAATCCAAGACTTAAACTAACACTCTCTTAGACTTGTGTTTTCATTTACACTAAAGAAAGGTGCTTCCACCAAATACCAAGCCTACACTAAGCAAAAAACTAACCTGCTCATTCTGAATGACTTGGCAAATACAAGGTTTACAAAATACATGTGCACAATGTGTTATCACAGGAACTGTTAAAGAATCCAGGCAAATTGCACATTCTTCATCTGAACCAGAGCTCAGAATTAATTTCATCTTCTTTATTAACATCTTTCTCAGTTCTTCAGGTGTATCATTTCCTGGAGAAAAGGCTAGAAAATTAATTTCAGAGCAAAATTTGTAATCACTAGACAATTTAATCTATTTTACATAAGGAAATGTTCTGCTTGCCAGTTCCGTATAGGTAGTCTTTCATCTTTTTCTGTCATAACAGGCTGAATTTGAAATTTTAAGAAAAATTCAGAAGACAATAAGCCAACTTACCTAATTTATACAGAGGCATCATTATAATATGGTCTGCCCACACTGGCACAGAAGAAAAGGCAGATCCAAAGTGAAACTTTCATCTAAGTGTATGTATCACTGAAAATCCTGAAAAGAACTCAGAATTCTATTTCACTGGTAAAAAATGTTTGTATAGATTTACTATTTTGGTTCACTAAAACATTAATGTCCATTTCACAAAACAAAACCACAAATCAAGTTTAGGCCCTATAAAAATATCTCATTCAGATTTAAATATCTCTAAAAAATGTAATAGTATGAACCAATCATATTTCTTTACCTGAAGGACCACTGGATGACACTGCATTTGTAAGAAGGTGAGTATGACAACAAATCTGCCGCAATCTAAGCAAAAGACCCAGGACATCTGCATAGTGTGCAAGGACAGTTCCTTCATTAAAATACCTGGGAGGAGGGTAAAAAATTTAAGATGCATCATGTACACATACCAACTATTATCAATGAATGCAGATGATGATGATGATGATGATGATGATGGGAAAGGAGGATCTAAAGAGGCAGGGAGGGAGGTGAGGAGGGGAAGGGAAATAAAAAGAATCAAGATGTAAGCACATATACTCACTCCCTAAGATGAATGCAATCATGTATTCCCAACATGAACTAATAAAAAAAATCACAGGCAAACACTTTTAAGAGTGTAGGGGCCTCTAGGAGCCTCTGGGCCTAAAAATCTCTCCAACTAGGATGCACACACAACTGGAGCCGCCCAAGAGCATTCCCAAAGCTCCCTGAAGCTATCTTGGTGCTCCATTCTTAGGCTGCCACTTGTATTTTTGAAAAGAAACATAAAAAGCATTTTATATAAAATCAGGCAATAACATACAATGAGATGAAATGCAAAATGTCCATATACAATACAGGAGAGGGGTCTCAGACTTTCTATTCTGTTAAGAGCTAAAGTCTAGAATCTGGATCCTCCTTTTGTTATTTGGGATAAACCCTTTCTGTACTTCACAAAAGCAAATAAGGTGTGATTTGCTCAAAAGGATGCAAGCTAATGAACCGGCAAGAAATAGAACCAAGTTTTCTTGAGTCCTCAGTGAGAATTCCTTCTGTAATATGACAAGGTTACTATAGAAAACTAATTTTTATTAAGGATCTACCACATGTCAGGCACAACACTGGAGTCCTCCATATACCCCCCATTAAATGTCAAATCATCCTTTGATATCAGTGCTATGTCTAATATGGAGATGATGAAATTGAGGACCTGGCCAGACAAGTAGTTTGTCCCAAGTCACACATACTTGTGGCAGTAGAAAGGGGATTAGAATATATGTGCCTTTTGTCTAGTTCCACTGCATCTCTTTGTAGGTTGGGAGACTATGTGCACACACATTAAATTTATTTCAGTATTCTTTTGCTATCTGTAGCTGTCTGAAAAATAGCCCCCCCCGCAAATACTGGGTCCTAACCCCTAGAAACTATAAATGCTACCTTATAAGGAAAAAAGGTCTTTGCAGAAGTGATTAAGGTCTTAGGGTAAAGAGATTACCCAGGATTATTAAAGCGAGCCCTTAGATACAAGATGCATTCCTAGAAGGGGGAAATGGAGAGAAATTTGACACATAGCAAGAATGTTACGGTTTGAATGTTTATATTCCCCCCTCCTAATTCATATGCCAGAAACCTCATCACTAATGTGATGGTATTAGATATGGCCTTTGAGGATAAAGATTAGATCAGAAAGCAAGAGCCCTTTTATTAGTCTATTTTCTAGTGCAGTAACAAAATACCTGAAAGCTGGGTAATTATACAGAAAAGAGGTTTAAGTCACAAACTAAAAAATTCAAGATTAGGAAGCCCTATGTATTTGGTTGCTGATGAGGGCCCACCTGGCTGCATCAGAAATGGTAGATTGCATCATGGTAGGGACATGTGCCAGAGAGAGGAATCAAAACAGGCAAACAGGAAACCAAAGCTTCAGGAATAGCCTTGCTCTTTTTATAACAACCCATTCTTGTGGGGACTAAGTAACCCCAAGAAACAAACATTAACCCCTTTGGAGGGCAATATCCATAATTACCAAATTATCTCTCTGCAAAACCCCTCTTTGTGAAGGTTCTACCACCTCTCATATTGCCACATTGAGTTCCAAGCTTCAACATAAGAACCCTTAGGAAACAAACTGAAACCATATCCAAGCCCTCATGAATGAGATTAATGCACTTAGAAAAGAGGCTCCAGAGAGGTGAGAGCAGAGAGGGAGAGACGAAACAGGGAGAAAGGAGAGAGGGGAGAGAGGAGAGAGGAGAGTGAGGGAGAGAGAGAGGAGAGGGAGTGAGAGGGGGGAGAGAGAGGAGTGAGGAGAAAGAGGAGAGAGAGAATCACTGGGAATTACTGGGAAGGAACTGACAGGAATATGAGAAGCTGCAGAGAAGTTGGAGAAATGGACAATGCAGAAAAATTAACAAAATCATCTGGACTCTCTCCCTGGCTCACAACTTATGGGGAGAAGAACCTGGCTCTCGAGAAGCAAGATAAGTACCCAAGGCTGGGAGATCCAGGGAGAAACAGTGGCAGACTGGGCCAGGGGCATGGACCTCAGGAAAAGCCCACAACTGTTGTAAACTGCAAAAGTAAAATAGGGCTTTTTGCTCTGAAAGGACACCTTCTACACGACATGCAACAGCCTGAGAGGGATTCCAGCGAAGGCACCTGCTGTATCAACAGAGTGTGCTTAATTAGGTAACATTCTGAGAAGAGATTATCTCAATCCTGATGGAGACCACCCTAAGCAAGTTGCAAATTCATAAATTGGCTTTTCCTGTTAAAAGTCTGAGTCTGCTTATTAGGCCACAATGGCTTGCCTGAAGAGCCAGCAGTTGGTGTGTAGGAAAGGAACAACTCCCCACACCACTGGTTACAGTGGAGGTCTCAATGATCTGTGACGCTGTGACATCTTGGATGACAAGACGAGCCAAGGGCAACATGACTCATACACAAAACTTCTATAGAGGCAAAAATTAATGTATGGGAAAAAACAAATCTCCCATTAATCAACAATCTGTTCCTACTAAAATGTCTTATTCCCTTGTTTCTAGGACCCTGCTCATGTCAGTGCTCTCCACTCCACTGTTCCTGCATTCCAATTTACTCCTTCAAGAAGCTGTGTGTTCGATAAATGGTGGCAAGCTCCAGGAGACAGTATCTTGGCCTGATAAGAGCTTTGATAGTCCTGGACCCCCCATTTATGCAATAAAGATCTTAACTTATTATACTGCTGCTGTACCCTCAGTCAGGTGATTGGAGATCTGATCAGCCTCCAATACAATCTAGGACTCTGAACAACTAAAAAATAACTTCAATTCAGGGCTCCCAGTGTCACCTTTCCATACTTTCTGAGTGAGAGACAGCCACAGACAAGGAGCAAGCTAGAAAGGTAGCAGCTGAGAAGTTTTAAGTTCAGGCCAGGAAGAACACAGGCCCCATTGCCCTCAGTGAGAAACCAGGGCTAGGTTGAGGTGCACTCAGAAATGGTTAGGTGTGAAAGCACTGGCGTTAAATACTTGAACTCTTGCCCTGGTGCTTACATCCAGCACAGATCTGAGGTCTGACCGCCTTTCCTATCTACCACTGTGAGCAAGGACACGTCTCAGTGTGGACACTACCACAGCCTGGGTAAACAGAGGGGCCACTGGACTAGGTGGGGACCTCACAAACCCACCTCACAAACCTCATAAACCCTAGTCATAAGGCTAGGCAGAGAAAACTGACACTTGCTAGACTACAAAACTGCAGATCCTGGAAGGAAACCACTCATTCAAAAGTACAGAGAAAAATCTTTTTGTTTCTGGACATACTTTCTTTTGTCTTTTTTTCCCTTTCCCTCTTTCTTCTTCCCTGGTTTATTGGGTTTTGAGGAACTTTCCTTCATCCTTTTTCCTTTCTTTTTTTTTCTTAAGAAATATACCATTTTATTACAAAGACTCTCATAAAAATGAAAATAATATCTCAAAAACAGGAAGCTACCAACCTCCACCTGCAGAACTGGGGGAAGACAAGAGGGCAATGTAAGGTTTCTTAGCTCATTTGTGGCCACTGTGAAGGTATGAGAACAGACCCAATCTAAAAATGGCTGATGCTACCTTAGGAGCCCAAGGAATAGGGAGCCCCTGAAGACACAGCCATCCTGTCCAGAACATATGACAGGGACGCCCTTCCAAAGCTACTAAGCAGGCCCTCAGCACGTCAGGACTTTGAATTATGGCTGCATCACTTCCATCCAATCTGTACCCTTTATGGTCTAAAACTAAGACTTTGGGTGGGATGTACAGCAAGGCAGCTGCTAGAAGAGTTCCCCCAGCATCGCTGCCCTGCACTCAAGGGCCTTGATTCCTATCTAGTCCCAAGGGATATTTATATTTAATACACTGTGTTTATTTTATATAATATTATAAAATAATATATAATAAAGAATAATACAATATATTATTTTATATTTATATTATATATTATATTTATTTTATATACATATACAGAGAAATAGAAAGTATAAAATCTGAGGTGTTAGAAGGACAAAGGTAGGGAACTTGGCAAGAAGCCCGAGCTGGAGAGGTCTGATTAGGCCAACTTGACCTCTTCTTTGACCCCGTTGGCTTCTGGCTGCTTCTCCTTGGTTTTCTCCTCTTCTGTGATCTTGTTCTTCTCTTCTGGGTCTTTCTCTTTCTCATCCTCTTGTTTTGACTCCCTTGGCTTTCCTAATGTTGGAAGAGTTCTTGCAGCCACCTTCTCCCTCCTAATCTGAGTTAGAGGAACAGATTGAGATGCACTTGTCAGGGGGGTCTTCATTGTCCTCATCACCACTCTCCTTGGGGATGGGATCCCTAGGAATTGCCTGCATTTGGACCAGAGGTGGATGCAGCAGCAACCTCAGGTTCTCAAAGAGCTGCTGTTTGCTCATCTCCAGGTACTCATTAGTGTTCTAATCATATTGGAAGGACCACTGTAATGCCTGAAATCTGGTTCAAAGTAGTCATTGTATAGAAGTTCATTAGGGATCTATATGTCTAGAGCCACAGCTGTTTTGCATCTCCAGCACCGGGCAACATTACAAATGGTATAACCACTTCCTCCCATCAGCATGGGCAGGTTGAAGCTTGTGACAAATTCCACACACTTGGTACGACCTTTGATGGTTAGATTGAAGCAACCCAGCTGATTCCCAGAGAAGGAGTCTGAGCCACACTGTAAGACCAGCACATAAGGCTGGAACATCTCCATTACTTTGGACACGACTGGCTTGAAAATAGCCTCAAAGAACTCATCATTATTGCCGTCATGGATTGGGTAATTAACAGCATTTAATATTTCCCTTTGCCAGCCCCAATATCCCGTAGGTCCCCAGTCCCTGGGAAGTACTCTCCGTATTTAGGAAAGGACAG